TCGTATAGAGGGGCAGAGAGGGGACATAGACCGGAGGAGACCTGCAGTAGGGTGGCGGGGGACACAGGGCCCAAGGGCAGAGGTGTGGAGCTGGCGGTGACCACGCAGCTCCCACTCACCTTCCAGAACAGGGAGACACGCTGGTCATCGCCCAAGCGCCAGCTCCGGAACCACACGTCCAGCATCCCCGAGGGCTCTGGGGCAGGGAGGAGGACAGAGTCACCGTGGCCCTGGGGGCCCTGCAGCCTGGGCCACCATCGGGAGCCGGGGGTGCAGCCCTCTCGGTGCCAGCTCCATACACAGCATCTCCCTTTTTTGTGATTTAATAGCAAACGTGGATGCCTTTGGCCAAAAGGTCAGGAGAAGTGAGGTGACCTTGAGGAGACCCCCTGCAGAGCCCTGAGGAGGAAGTTCGCCTCCTGGCCTAACCGCAGCATAGTAACGCACGTCCCATGTGTGCATGGATACTGGATTATTAAGAGCTCAGAGAAAGCCTGTATGATTCTGTTGTTTGGTTTTTTGAGACAGGGTCTTGCTGTGACCCTGTAGCCCAGGCTAGTGTTGAATTCACAGTGGAGATCCTCCTGCCTCTGCTTCCTGGGTGCTGGGATGGCAGGCCTGAACCACCGTGCTGGTTGGCACAGGCCTAGCCAGCGGTTCCTGCTGGCTCTGCATTCTTGGGCCAGTGTCACAGTGTGATCCCAGGAACCCATCCAAACCCTGACACTTGGGAAGCCCAGTTCCCGGCTGTGGTCCCCACAGCCAGTCAGGGCCAGGGGCTGTTCCCAGCCTCCCTGGGGGCCAACGCTCCTACTTCCTATGTGACCCTGTCACTTGCCTCCTGCGCTCTGTGCTACCTTGCCTCTCTCCTCCAGTCCTTCCCCTCCCAGTGAAGCCTGGAGCTCTCCCCAAGCTCTTGCCCAGCACCTTGCAAAAGAATGTTGTTTCTAAAATTTTGAGCAGAGTCTTGCTGAGTTTCCTGAGAGATTCGCAACCTTGTGATCCTCCTGCTCAGCCTCGCGGAGCGCTGGGGCAACAGGCGTGTGACTGCGCCCTGCCCAGAGCAGGGCTTTTTACTCAAGCAACTAGAAGGTGACGGCTCCTTGAATCGGGAGAGGTGGACGCAGTGTGGCGGGCCGGGCCGAGGGGCAGACGGCAGCCCGGGTTCCCACCGCGTCCAGGGGGACTGCTCCTCACTTCCTCTGCTTCTCGTTCTAGATCCGGTGCTGGACGCTGCTGGTGAGGCCGCCCATTCGGGAAAACAAGGTCCTAGCTTCGGGCCTGACTGGTGGCTGGGACCCAGCAGAGGTGGCTGGGGTGGCACCTGAGATTCCTAGGACTTGGGGACACAGTTCTTATCCCTACGGCCCTGGTAGTTGGGCAGCCTCATGAAGCCAGGCTTTGTCACTGGGGCCTCAAGGACAAACATGCTGATGCTGGTGGCTGGAGCAGCAGCCTCCACCCCTCCCACTCTGGAGGCTGCAATATCCAAGACAATGTCAGGCTCAAAGCTCTAACATCAGTGTGCTGTCAGACCCGGCCTGGTGGCCTGCACCTGTGAAGCCAGCGCTGAGGAGGCTGAGGCAGGAGGACTACCAGTCTGGATTACATGGTGAGTTCAAGGCCAGCCTGGACCACCTTGAGAGACCCTGCCTCAAAAACTCAAAAAAAAAAAAAAATTAAATTAAATAACAAAGCCGAAAGAATGTTCTCCTGATGGGTTTCGTGGTGCAGCTTGTAATCCTAACACTGGGAGGCTGAGGCAGGAGGAACTCAAATTCAAGACCAGCTTGGGCCACACAGAAACATAGCGAGACCCTGTCTCAAAACTAGAAACTAAAGACAAGAAGACCAGGCATGCAGTGAGCCTGTCTTCACAACCAGGCCGCTGCAGGGGCGACGTGGACACGTCTTCATCCCGAGGCAATGGCGTCTTTCTAGCGAAGTTATAGCACAGAACCATACAGGGAGTAGCCCTCTCGGCCTCCAGGGTGACCCCAGGCCACCAGAGCTGCATGGCCTGCCGTCCCCTCTGCTTGGCAGCTGCTGCAGAGACCGAGGCTGGTCACCTAGAAAACAGTTGTGGTTTCTGTCACCGCACGCCCTCGGAAGGGTTGAAAGAGGCCAAGTTCATGAAACTTCACACCTTCAGGGCCCAGAGAGGTTTGCAGGTTTGCACTAAGAAGCGGATGAGGGGTGTGGGGTGGGGTGGAAACCACAGGGGCTTCGGGAGGGACCGGGCCGCAGGGGGCAGAGAAAGGGAGAGGAAGTCCGGAGTGGCCTGACTGCCTCCTCCTGGGCAGTGCCCGACTTCGTGCCTGGAGGGGTTTAATCCTGACACACGCTGAAAACAGAAGGAGGTGTGAGGGCCAACGCTAACATGGAGACTTTATCAGAAGAGAGAGGCCACTAATCATCACTTGCTGGATGAGTGTGTTTCGGGAGTGGAGGCAGGGTCTTGCGATGCAGCCCACACTAGCCTCGTACTTGCAGCGATCCTCCTGCCTCAGCCTCCCGAGTGGCCAGATGCAAGGCCACCACTACTCCTGGCTCACAGATCACTTGCAAGTGGACAGGCTCACACTCTGGCCCCAGCACCGGCACCGTGGAGGTCCCCCCCCACCCGCCTGCGCCCCTTGTTCCCGGCCACGCACTTTCCTCCGGTGTGTGCACTCGCAGGGGCTCGCTCCAACTGCTCCAGCCGCCCCGGGAAAGATGCGGCCTGGAGGACACCTGGAATTCGTACTCCGTGAAGGGCTCCAGGTGCAGCAGGTCCTGCCTCCCCCTGGCATCAGTCACGTTGACCTGGGGGGGGGGAACGAGCTGTTCTTTAATCCGGAAGCAACCTCAGCACACCCAGGGACGCCTGGACACGGTGCGTCACTGTCCAGCCAACAGAGCGCTCCTCAGGCCAACGTGGATCACTTTTGCAGGCGCGCCACTGCCCACACCGCCGCAGCACATCAGCCCCCGCACCCCCGTCTCCAGGGACAGACACCACCCGAGGCCACTTGTAAGTGAGCCAATCCTGTAGCAGAACGGAGCGGCACAGTGAACAAATGACGCTAGCACAGCGCCCACTAATCCGAGTTTAGCAGAAAGAACTGTAGCCTGCGAGAAAGGCAAACTGCTGGGCATTTCTGTCGGCAGATCCGTCATTCGGTGAAAAGAAATATCAGGGGCTGGGCACTGCAGACGCACGACGTTAGTCCAAAGTCACAGGCTCCCAACAGAAACGCGCCTAAAATCTCTTCCCTCTAGGAGCCCAGGGGAGTCATTCAAGCAGAAGAAAAATGAGGACTGTCAGAAACTATGTTGAAAAATAAGTTTCTATGTTGGAGTCTTTTAATCTTTTTTTCCATTTGTGTATTTGGTACGGGGTCTCACTACGCAGCTTGGACTTGTAGTGCTCCTCCTCTTTTCAGCCTCCCCAGCGCTGGGATCACAGGTGTACGCCACCACGCCCGGACTCGAGCCCTGGTCCCTGCGCTTGCCAAAGCAGGCACTTAGTTGCTGAGCTATCTCACCGGCCCAAGTCTTTTAATCTTAATGATTATTCTTGAATTGGATGCGATTAACATGTGATGACTATTTTAACACGGATGTAGCGCTGGCTTTCACAGAAAACTTTAGCCAGTGAGCCCAAGGCTCAGGCAGCTGAGGCAGAAGACCAGCCATCAGTTTGAGGCCAACCTGGGGTACATAGCGAGACCCTGTCTTAACAAAACCAGAAAAAATCCAGAAAATTTTTATTAGTTATATATCTCTGAGGCATCATCTATATTGTTTATCACGATAAGCCATTGTCAAATATATATATATATATTTGTGTTTTAGGGAAGGGTCTACAGGTGTACAGGGTCTCACTACTAGATCGGGTTCATAGTGATCTGCCTGTTTACAGCCTCCCAAGAGCTGGGATTACAGGCGTGCACACCACCACGCCCAGTCTCGATTGCTGTCTCAGAACATGCACAGCAGGCCCAGGGATTGAACCCCTGGCCCTTGCGCCTGCTTGCAGGTGCTTTAATCCACTGAGCTATTTGGCCAGCCCATAACTTATATTTTGGACAGAATCTTCATCCTAGATTTTTACTGTAAAAATGTGATCATGCCACATTAGAAGGCTTTTCTTAGGGATATTTAGCTGCACACAATTGTTGGATGTTTCCTAATATTTTTCTTTCCAGTATTTTTTTTTCTTAAATGGTGTTTAAAATGATGGTGCATGGGCCACAGAGACAGCTCAGAGGTCTAAGCACCTGCCCAGGCAAGCACAAGGACCTGGGTTCCATACCTGGCACCACATGCCGTGCCAACTCCGCCCTGGGCACGGGGAGCTGGCTGCCAAGACTGTGAATGGTGGTACAGGCCTGTAATCCCTGCGCTGGGGAGGCTGGGACAGGAGGCTCACTATGTGTCTGAGCTGTGTAGTGAGACCCTGTACCAAATACATAAAATAATTAAAAAATCAATAAACAGTAATGAGTCATAGGCTAGAACCAGGCAAAACACATTCTTTTGGTTGTTGTACTTATTTTGAGGCAGTGTCTCATTGTAGCCCAGGCTGCCCTCAAATTACAGCAGTCCTCCTGCCTCAGCCTCCCGAGTGCTGGGGTTACAGGTATGCACCACCACGCCTGGCAAAATAAATTCTTTACTAAAATAAATTGTAGACAATTAAGTGTTGAAGGGGCATCCAGATAGCTCAGTGGACTAAAGCACCTGCCTAGGAAATGCAGCGGCCAGGGTTCGATCCCTGACCTGCTGTGCCGGCCCTACCCTTGAGGTACACTGAGAAGGCGATTGAGACTGGGCATGGTGGTGTATGCCTGTAATCCCAGCACTTGGGAGGCTGAAAACAGGAGAATCTATGAGTCCAATCTGTCTAGTGAGACCCTGTAGACCCTGTCCTAAATACATTAAAAAAAAAAAGAAAGAAAATTAGTGTTGGTTTATAAAAGCCCGTGGCTTGAAAATTGTCACCATCATGGATGAAGATATTTCTTAATGAACAGAGGTGTGTGTGACTTCTGAATAAACCCCAAGTGTCTACTTTCAGGCCAACTATCCTTTTTTGTTTGGTTTGGTTTGGCTTGGTTTTTGAATCCAAGTCTCATTGTGTAGCCTGGGCTGGCCTCAAATCACAGTGATCCTCCTGCTTCAGCCTCCTGAGTGCTGGGATCACAGGCATGTGCCACTGCATCCAACCTGCCGAGTACAGGCCAGGCAGAAGCTGTGGTGGCGCCCTTGCCCCCGCGTCCCCTTCCCCGGAGTCCTCACCGTCCTCCAATCTGCGCTGCCCTGGGGCCGGTACCGGAGCCGGTTCAGCAGTACCCAGGCCTCATCACTCCAGCGCAGGCTGCAGCGGCTGCCAGAGCTGTTCAGGAACTGGACCTGGACGTTGCACGGAGGAAGTGGCTTCGCTGGAACCGGGACAGAGACAGGTAGGTCAGGCTGTGCCGTCAGGAGCTGGCCTGGCCTTGGCCTCACCCACCCTCAACTCTCAAGCCTGAGTGCACTCCAGATCTGACCACAGAGCTGGAGGTGTGGGGACGGGACGTGCAGGGGGACTGCATCGGGCCAACTTGTGGGCAGAGATTTAGGGTGAGGCCCAAAGGTCCAGGGAGTGCTTATACTAAAAAAATTATCTGTCAATGATATCGCCATGAATCCCTCTCCAAATCTTCCCTTGCACACCCGTCCCACCACCCCAGCCATTTTCTGTGGCAGCTCTGGCGTCCTCTCTGAGGGTCTTTATTTATTCATTTATTTGTTTTTATTTCCATTTATCTTTTTGGTAGAGGGTCTTACTACACAGCTCAGACTCTAGTGATCCTCCTGATTTCAGCCTCCCCAGCTCTGGGATTATAGGCGTGTGCTACTGCGCCAGGGCTCAGTGCGCCCCGGGGGTGGGGTTAACGCAGCATGCGGGACCAGGGCTCGAACCCTAGTCCCTGTGCTTGCCAAAGTGGGTGCTTAGTCTGCTGAGCTATCTTGCTGGCCCTTCCTGAGGGTCTCTAGTTGTGCTGTCCTGGCTGTCCCAATGTCCTGAGCCCATTCAGATAGTGTCCCTTTTTTGGTCATTCTGACCTTGGGGAGGAGCCAGCAGTCACACAGTGCCATTTCCAGTCAATAAGGTGGACGAGGCCACAGTGCAGGGTCTTTCTGCTGGTTAGCACTGGTGGTGTGGTCACCGTATATTGGATCATACCTCGCACAGACCCGCAGGAGAGAGCGCTGCAGAGTCACTGCAGGAAGTGGCCATGATGGAACAAGTATGTTGGAAGCAGGGGAAGGATCTGAGGGGACTCACGGCAATGTGTTTTACTGCAATGCATTTTTAGAAATTTAAGCATTCATTGTACATTTGGTTCCCGCCTCGGATCAGCGCAGACATGCTGGGAGGGGCTTGGAGGCAGTAAGTACTCTCAGAGCGAGGGGCATCTGCACCTGCTCATTTCATGGCCTATCTCTTGCCACCTCGGCCCAGCAGGCCCACACACCGCTGGGAAGAAGCCATGGGGGAAAGGACGTCACCACCACACAGGGCCTCACCCACCTCCTGAACCGTGTGCAGGGCCCTGCTTGGCCTGGGCTGCCTGCGGCAGTGGGTGGGCCTGTGCGGTTGGAGCCCGCACCCCCTTCTCTGGTGGGAGGCTGAAGGTGCACACTCGTGGGCAGAGCCATCCCAGGGCTCTGGGAGCCCCCGGCCCCCACAGCATTGACTCACGCCTTTGGCCCCTGCCCCAGGACCACCTTCTGGCAGCCCCTGTGCTCTCGGAGTAGCTGTGGACAGGAGCTTTGAGGGATTTCACGAATACTCCTGAGCTGGTGAATGACACTGGAGGGCTGAACGAGACGCACCTATGTCCAGGAGGGTGAACGTGAATGGAGCCGAGGACGCTTGCCCCAGGCGGTTGGCGACAGTGACCTGGGCTGTGAACCTGGATTCAAGCTGCTCCCGGGTGAGGTTGATTCCAAGGTCCAAGTGATGACAGTAATTACCGCAATGCTTCCGCCAAGTGAAATTCTTCGGTCCCTCTAGCCTGTCAACAGAGACAGCTGAGATGTGCGGGGCGAGGGCTCCCTGTCCTGCTTTCTCTCTGCAAGCTGCAGGGGCTGCTGCTGCATCTCCCGAGGCCGCCCTCCATGCTAATCTGCCTGGTGTACCCTAGCCCAGCGGCAGCTGCAGAATCTCGCCTGTCACTCACAATAGCGTGTAGTTGTTGTACAGGTGGGTGGTGCGGCCTGGGTCCCAGGAGCAGGCCACGGTTCCACGCTGTCCCTCCTGCACACAGGACATGTTTCCAGGTGGCTCTGGCGCGGCTATCAGAGGAGAGGGCTGGTTCAGTGATATTTATGATCAAATACTTTCTGGACATGGAGCTGGTGCGGAGCGCGTTAGGCACAGTTCTTTGATGAGACACCGTCCTGACCCTGACTGCACCAACAGGGATGGAGGCTGAGAGGACTGAGCTCTGTGGCCTCAGACTGCTGGTGACGCGGTGACAAAATTGGCTCCAGCTGAGAGCGGCCACATGCACGCCCGGTCCCCTGCCGCTGTGTCTCCCGGCTCATGAACGGCCCTGGTGAAGACCTCGAGTGTGCGGCCAGCCCCACAGCAGGTGCTTTGGGCACCTGGGCCTCCACTGACCACTCTCTGGCCGCCACCTCCAGACGGCACCATCTGCATCTGACTTCTACAGAAGTCACTGCGTCACTTGGAGCACGCCGTGAAGGCTTCCAGACGAATTCCTTGTGGACAGAGCTATGGGGCTCCCATGGGCCGGGCACGGTGCTAGCTGGGGCAGAAAAGGGTGCAGGGCAGAGGCAGGCCCTTCCACGGCAAGGTGTGTTTGCAAAGAAAGTCACTGCTAGTGAGAGGCCGGTCCAAGTGTGGGAAGTTTCCCACAGGCCAGAGGAGATGCTCTGACTTGGGTGCCCCATCTCACCCCACTGCCGCAACCTCTGTCCCCAAGCATCCTGCTGAAGTCCACATCTGTCCTCTCACATGCCTGATTGAACAGATTTTTTTTCTTGCCCCTTTAAGGCTACCATAGACACAGGCCCAGTAATGACCTTGGACAAATGAACATCTCAGAGCTGCACTGTGATCTATAAAATAGAGCCCATATAGTTGTGTGTAACAGAATAGTAAACTCTTAGCCAGATATAGTGGCACACACCTCCTAACCCTCGGGAGGGATGCTGAGGCAGGAGGATCATTGCAAGTTTAAGACCAGCCTGCAGTACAAAGTGAGCTCGAGGCCAGCCTGAGCTGCACAGTGAGACCCTGTCTCAAAAAGACAAAAACAAGAAAAGGAAAGAAAAATAATAATAATCTCTTCTTTTTCTTAAAATAACAGACTTTTCCTCGAGTCTATGTACACTTATGCATATGCACGGTATATGTATAAACACAGGAGTGGTTGTACATACATGTATATGTATAAACATGTGCAATATACAAACATGTACATACACATGTAAATATAAACATGCACACTGTTATATGTACAGCATCTACATGTGTGTACACACACTACCCATGGCTGACTCACACGATACTATGTTTTCTGTTCCGCATGACTTTTTCTTGGAGTTGGTGGTTAACTGTTCTTCCATTTGTTCTGTTTCCTAGTTATTAATGTAACTCAGAAGGCCCAGGCCAGCCGTGGGAGTGTGTTCAGCGCCTGCAGTGCCCTGGGCACACCCACTGCAGTGCCGGAGTCTCTCTCTGCAGCATGGTCGCCCCCACAAGAGGCTGCCTCCTGCCCAGTCCTCAGGGCCGGAGGACCTGGGATTTCTGGGGCTGTCATCCTCGGCATCTGGAATTCTTTCTTTTTTCTCCCAAGTCAAAACTTTTCTGTTTGTGCCTCCGATCAACACTGCGGGCTTTACCTTGCACGGAAATGGCAAATCTGTGTGCTCTTCCCACCATCCACGGCCAAGCCCCTGCTAGGACCCCGATGTGGACAGGACGGAGAGGAGCAGTGCCCAGGCATTCGGGGCAGGTCGGTGCCCACTCACCTACCCATTCACCCACTGGAGAGACCAGGGCTTCCGCCCACCAGCTCAGCTTTCTCCGTGGGAGCTCAGGGGACTCTGAAACCCAGTGTCTCCCAGTCAGGCTTTGCCAAAGGCATCTGTCCCAGGGGATGTCCAACGTCAAGCTTCTCAAGGGCAAAGAAACATCAAAAGACCGGCAGTTAGGGCCAGCTAGATAGCTCAGCAGACTAAAGTGCCTGTCTAAGCAGGTGCTGGGACCAGGGTTCAAACCCCGGTGTGCTGTGCTGGCCCGGCCCCACCCTCGGGGAGCGCTGAGAAACTGAGATTGGGCATAGCCTATAATCCCAGCGCTTGAGAGGCTGAAAACAGGAGGATCACCATGAGTTTGATCTGTGTAGTGAGACTGTACTAAATACATTAAAAGAAAAAGAAAAAAAGGAAGAAAGAAAAGATCAACAATTAAAATAGCATAGGACAGAAGACATGGTTAGCAGTGGTGTCGTCGCTGGCTTTAAAACCCTACTCATCATGGGAAACAAAGTCAGCCTTCAGAAATCTCGACAGTCAAAGCTCACGCTGTACTGAAGGCAGACACCGCAAGTCCATGGCCTGTCACTTACTACCTGGATTTCCTAAAGCGCTTGGGGATTGCCTGCCTCCCACCGTAAGCTCGGCATGGACTGTTTCGACTCTGTGACTTCTGCACGACCTGGGTGACATGGTGGCAGTCCAAGAAGGACCAGAAGGGAAGGCGTAAAGCTGCTGGCCCCACGGAAGCCAGGCTGCTGGGAAAGCGCACTGCACGGCGTGGGCCCTGCACAGCTCCCTCCCTCCGCTGAGGTGCACTGTGTGAACCCAAGATGGTTGTGTCTCGTCTTGCAATGGCTCGCCATGCTCAGAATAAGACTACACTCCACTCAGCCCCCCTCTCCAAGCCGCGGGTCTTGCTTGCCGTCAGCGGTACCATGTGTGGGCCCTGCCCCAGGCTCTGCAGCGCAGACTACTGGGGCAGAGCATGCTGGCTGCTGAGGGCACCTGGGGTGGCGTCACATGCGGGTGGGCCCTCTTGGCCTGGTGGGATGAAGGGAGACAGGCCATGCCTGGGGTAGGGAGGCAGGGCTTCCGCGTGCTCACTGGTGAGATCTAACCTCGCCTCTGCCCATGCTGACCTTGTGGTGCCCCTGGCTGGGCACAGCACTGCGATCTCATGCCAGTGCCCATCCTGGGTGGCACTGGGTCTGGAGCTTTGTATACCAGGGTGGGTGGGTGTCACTGCTTTTGGTGCAGGCTTGGTGCCATCCTTACACAGATGGAGAAACTGAGGCTCAGGGGATTTAAGCATGCGTGGCCAGGCTGGGGGTCAAAGCCCCCGATCGTTCTTGTCTTTTCTTGTTTTTTTGAGGCAGGCTCTCGCTATGCAGGGCAGGTTGCCCTTGAACGAAGGCCCTGGCTGACCTTGCAATCCTGACAATCCTCCTGCCTCAGTCTCCAGAGAGCTGGGATTACAGGCCTGCGCCATCCCAGCAGCTGCCCGCCCTAGGCGGAAAAGCTGAGTGAGCGGACAGTTTGGCTCTTCCTTTGTCCCTGCTATTGTATTTTCATCTGCTCTTTTGGGGGACGTCCCCAAGGGACTTGCACAACTCCATCTTCTTGTTACTGATGTTCAGAGACACCAGGTAAACATCTTAAAGGCCAGAGAGGGAAGGAGAGGAAGAGAAGGAAAATAAAGAGGAGGAAGAAGAGAGGAGGAGCACGAAGAGCTGGAGGAGGAGGAGCAACAGGAGGAGGAGCAGGAGGAGTAGGAGGAGCAGGAGGAGAAGGAAGAGGAGCAGGAGGAGAAGGAGGAGCAGGTGAAGGAGGAGCAGGAGGAG